GGCGCGGGGCCGCCTGCCTCGATGGCCAGCAGACCGCCGCGCCCGCAACACCGCTCTCGCGCCCAATCTCGCGACTTCGCCCTCTGCTGGTTGTGGCCTCGATTGCTACAGACTCAAGCCCTCGAGCGCCATGCGCCGTCTGCCCTCGCCCTTCGCCCCAAACCCCTCACACGCGTTGCGTGCACCCGCAAATCCGCGGCACGCGCAGGCCTCTCTGCTGTGGCGCGCGCGCAGGACATCGGCGCGCTGTTTCTGGAACAGCTGGCGGCGCGTCTCGAGCAGGTGAGCCGTATGGATGGGCAAGGGGAATAGAGGGGCATTCTCACACAGCATCCAGAGGCAGGCCTCCTGGTGCAGCTTCCGACCTTGGTGCTGCGGTTGGCTGCGAGCTCTTGCTTGGCCGACTGCGCGATTCGCAGGGCAGCGACGCGCCATACGTCCACGAACCATAGGCCCCGACGCGGCCATCTGCAGCAACCTGGGCGCTGCTGCGTGCCCCTGGCCGGCAGCGGCCTGCCATCCCGGGGCTTCCAGGCGCGGGGTATAGGCGCGGGATCTGACCTCAGCCCGGCGCCCCTCCGCAGCACCTCACCCCTGTCCCCCCCCTTTCCCGCACCTGCCGTCCCCTCAGGCGTACGCCGCCGACGACACCCAGGGCTGCCGCAACCTGACGCTGGTGCGTTTCTCAGCCGCGGCGCTGGTGCATGTATCTTATGTTTTGGTGAAACCCAAACCACACATGCAAGGCTGCACTCCGCTTCGACGCCGCCCCGCCCGCGCGCCCGGCCGCCCAGCTGTGCCCTTACCGACAAGGGTCGCGCCCCTCGCGCCCCGGCCGACCCAAATCTTCGAATAACGCAGAGTTGCAGCGAATTGCCAGCCATCATCCTGCTCATCCCACCCACTCTCCTAATCACCTCGCCGTTTGAATGTTCATAACCAGGTCCTGGCGTACTGCTACAGCTGCGGCCTCCTGGCGGCCGACTGCTGCTTCAGCTTCCTCCAGCGGCTCGTGGCCAGGTGGGCGGCCTGCTGCTCGGCAACCGCGCGGGGCGCGCGGCGGCGCAGCGCTCATCGGTTTTGATCCGCAGCGCCCGCCCCCCCAAAATCCGGCTCCCTCGTAGCCAGCCGATTGATCGGGCGTCATTTGCAGCGAGCACGCGCCTGCGGCGCTCCCATCCGCAGCTCGGCAACCCCTCTCCCGCCTCTACACAATCCTCGTTGCTTCTTGCGCGTCTCAGCAATTTGCCTGTGTCCACCCCCGAGGGTCTCGAAACCCGCGCCGCCTCACAGATCACCTGAGTCATACGAATCACCCGCACCTCCACCCACCATGCCCGACTCTCTGATCACCTGCACCCCCTCAACTGCCC